TATTTATAGCTTTAAGTGTCTTGTCAAACTTTTTTCCATAATGTACAAGTGGCGTCGAGAAGTTTAAAGTTGTGTACAACTTGAGTCGGCCAGCACTTTGTCTTTGCCCATGTACTTATATTAATATTATTTGATGTCTCTCCGAATAAATAATTCATCAGACGCCCTACGTTGAACGTGACCGCCGAATTCAAATTCGTGACTTTGTTCTCTTTATTCAGCACGCGGTTTGCATTTTAAGGACAAAACGCTCTCTTTTAGTATTAACAAAAAGGTGGGTTTAGTTATTGATAATGTGCTCTTAATTAGCCCAGCTATGGAGTGTCTCATTGCCCCAAGATGGAGTATCTATACTGATAAAGGCTCATAGCCAGGACTTAAAGTACAATCAGTCTTCATCAGGAACTGAATAACAGCATTACTCCTTCTTAAAGTCTCCAGCAGTAGTTGAGCTGCATCACGCAACCAGGAGATTAACGGGAAATTGCAAGAGTCACACGAATACTGCCGAGGGTGTAAACAGTCAGACATCTCTGTGTTTTGAAATAAATTTCTTTTAATTTTCTTGCCCAATTTCATTAGACAAGGCACTTTAATAGTAGCCTGGGTACCATCCTACTTGTATGCCGGGGCTCCCATACTCGCTTCCCTAAGAAGTACTTCTTAGGGATGCGAGTGTGGGAGCCCCGGCATACAAGTAGGATGGTACCCAGGCTACTTTAATAGGTATTCTATTATTTGTGTTCTTGTAATAAAAAAATCAATTGATAATATGTTTTCTACTACAGCTTCTAAAGCTTCCTCTTGTAAAAAACCCTTCTATTTGTATTGCTTTAAATTTTCTAATTGCACTACCAACATAAATTAATATTAATTTTTTCTAAAATTTCTAAGAAAATAACTAAAATTGATAATATATTTTCTACTACAGCTTCCTCTATTTAAAAGTCCATTCGAAACGTACAGTTTTAAACATGTTGTTTCAAATATTTCTAATTGCAATACCAAAATATATTAAGATTTATTTTTCAAACATTTCTTTAAAAAAAAGCAGCACCTCAAAATTATTCCCCACGCACGTTTCCGTATGAGAAACTGTACATGAAATTTTGATATTACTTCCGGCCCACGGAGTGAAACGCCCTTCGATCAGAAATTGGCTCACGTGGAACGTAATAAAAGATTCATCGTTCCTATTTGATTTAAAACGCGTATCATAAGCTCCGTGAAGTGGAATGCTTCCGTCCGTAAATCCTATCTCACATCACCCTGTCAGTTTGTATATTGATATGCAGATAATACGTATATACGTGCAGGGGCCAAGGTTGTGCGTCTTAAAATAGTCCATGCTCGCAAAAGAGCTCATTGGGGAATAAGGTCTGATCTTCACTTTAAGGTTAGATGATGAATTTTACATTTATTAATTGCTGCATGATAACATGTCTAGGGAGTGTTAAGTCACGTGGTTTGGTCTCACGAGGTGGGGTCGGTTGAGGTTATTTACAATGGGTGGTGAGAACAGGAGAGAATTGTGTGGGTTCCTTGGGGATATAAGGGAAACGTTTGACCTTAGAATTATAGTCTAAGTAAGACTTGAGGAAGAATACGTGTGTTGGGGACCAAGAGGCGCTCTGAATATTGTATGAGAAACACACGCATACACACGGACACAAAGACACACACACATCACATACAAACATACATACATACATATATACGTCATACAAACACACAATTACATTATTCACATGCGCGCCGGCACACACACACACACACACACACACACACACACACACACACACACACATATACAGAGAGAAAGAAAGAGAGAGAGGGAGAGAGACAGTACGACTGAAAAACAACTTGCTCATTCTTAAAAAAAGCTGTTAAGCTAACCCATACTCCTCCCATTCAACTAATCCCTCAAAACAGTCCACAAACTAAGTTTCAGCTCATCACTGCAATTGTCTGTAACAGAAGACGAGAGATTAAAACAGAATGAGAACCCACTCAGTAATAATAACCCGCTGCAAAGTAAAAGCCCCATTTACAGTAATGCTAGCCTAAAAGGCCTTCATTTTCCAAACTACGCATTAGGCTAATGGAGAAGTAGGGCCGTCGGTAAATGAAGTATAACTACCATCCATTCTAATAATACCTCTTCTCCTGCTGAAGCCGGGTGTCTTTTGCATGTTATCGATATTTTCTCGTGAACATCTGGCAAAATAGACACCTTCTAAAATAGAAGCATGTCTATTTTTGAACAGTGTGTAATCATGTTTGACTCATTGTTACCGTAACGCTTAATGCTGAATTTGGATGGGCCTTCAGTAAGGGAAAACAGAGTTTACTGTGATGTTTTAATCAATATCAGGATGATTAAATATAACGAAACTAATGTGGAAATTGGTGCGTTAAGAGTACAATTGAATGTGTGGTGGGAAGGGGAAATTGGGTTAAAATGCAATCGTACATACAATATTTTAAAAAAGAGTTTCCATTTCTTGTCATTTTATGAATCGCTATCTAGGATTTAGAATATAATCTTGAATTTCTGAGACTCTGACGAAATGTGAACGTAAATGTTGAGAAATGTCAGGTTTTTTTTCGCAGTACTAGTATTACAATAGTTTTATTTCTTGCCAGTTAACAAGTATATGATTTAAGCCTGTCTTGAAAATAAACGAGCGCCCCATTCAACTGTAAATGGAAACGCAAATGTGTACGCGTGCTTAATTGTTTAATGGGCAACAATCTGCTATCGACGATCATTCATATTACGTCTTCCGCTGAAAGTGAGGTATCATTCACTGGGAGCAATCGTGGCTGCTTTCAGTCTGAAGTATAATTATGTTACCTTATGAGATGGAAAATATATTGTTTTGCTAAGTTTCTTCCGTTTTTGCTTCGTTTCCTCCCCTTCGTCTTCTACAAACAACTAAGGTCAATTACCTGGACCAGACAGCTGTCACCATGGTAACTGGTGCTGTAGCAGACACTCTGCGGAGTGGGATTACATTATGTAGCAAGTTGCAGGACGACAGAATTAAAGAGGCTGTCACCCTTTATATGAATGAGCCAAAGTTATGTAAGAATAAACAAATTAGTCGTTTATTAGGCTAGACAGCGTTAGGGTGACCATTATGCATTTGCTTTTGGAGTATTGGAGCTTCTCAATTAAAACTTTGCATTTTATCGTAACTTTCTTTTAGATTTTCAAACGTCACTCTATATAGCTAATTATTAGATTTGAATAGAACAGAAAAATGTCTAACTATCCAGATTTTGTAAAAAGGGCGTAGCCTATCAAATTATATATAGTCAAAGAAGAAACATGAGAAATTTTTTAAATATATTTGCATAGCATACTTAGTATTAGGCTTGACTTTCAATTGTTGATGCTATGCGCGTTCTCTAATCTTTACTTTTTACGGCTAAATCGTAGGGATCCTATCATCACTGCCTCATAATTCGCAACACGACAGTAGAGTAGATCACCTCCTTGATACCCTAACCCTAACGTCTAAGGTTAGCGACCTTTCCTAATTGGTGGAACGACCTTGCAGTTGACGGTCTGACATAAGACCCCCTTCCTTTCTTTCTTCTTCAAAGACAATCCGTTCTTCTTTCTTCAAGTCTCGAAAGCCTGACAAAAAGAGGAACAATTTTCTTCAAAGCGAAGGCCATGGTAAGACAAGCTTGTTATCTATTTCTCTCAGAGCGGTTCAGTCTTATCGTATCTATTTGGGTAGAGCCGGGATTTTCCGAGCGCCCGTACATCTGGACCGTTTTCATGATGATCCTATTAGAGGGATTCTCCCGTGTCCATTTGCGACGCTGTTTGGTAGTTTTCTAGCGGTACGTCTGGGGGAGAAGAGATTAAGGTAAATCTCCTGCTGCTCTAATCTATACCGCCTTAAATGGGAGGGTAATACACTCATGCATATTCCCAGGCCGTGCTCAAGTCAGGTTCACGTTGATGGTGGTATGAATAAAATATGAGAAAAGACGTCTTTTACGGCGAAGCGGATTGAATATCGGATTTTTTTTTGCCTGTGTGGTACCGAAAACGGTCGTTTGCAAGTTTTGGGAACGAGAGTTTCCCGCCCTTTTATTATCGTTTGGCAGAAGGGGGAGGGGGGTCGGCGTTTTTTTTGTTCCCTGAAAGACTTGCGTTGCCGCCAGCACAAAGCAAATCTATCGTGAATTCCGACACATGTAGGAAGCGGCGATTACCCAGTAATAGATGGATGCTAGATTACTGGCGGGAAGACGGATGGGAAATATCTTTTTTTATTACTAGCCGCGCGTTTCCCCAGTCGCCTATTCATTACCGTAGTAAAGCGAGCTGAACCCGCGGCCGCGAATGAATAAATGACTTTAATGCCGCCGTGTCTTGGGACTTGGCGGGAATGATCGAAGGCAGTTATGAAATTTGTAAACCGCGCGCGCGATGTAGGAGCCAAGTTAGCATGAAATCGGCGAATCGATCTCTTTCTCCTCCCCTAGACCCATTATATACATACCTAAAGAACCATTGAGATACAGTCGCCTGGTCTGTGGGGCTAGACCGATCGTGGCGTGAATACTGAAATGTTGAGCCGGAGTTTGCTGGGCCGGGATTGGGTGTTTCTCTTCATCCGGGCACCCGGAAGCAGCCGCCTGTCGTTTGCGTACAAATTGCCGCCCTCGCGGAGGTTTTGACATTGTTTCCTGTCGTCAGGACTTACGCACGGGATTGACGCGTTCAAACCACGGGGCGCCATAAGGCTTTATTAACAGGCCACAAGGAAGCGAGATCGTGCCGCCGGATCGATCAACCCAGACCGCAGAGGTGGTGGAAAGGGGAGCGCGGACTCCGCAGGTGAATGTTAACTAGAGAAAACAGATCTACCGAGGGGTGAGGGTGTAATGAGGTACGGTGTACGGCCGTGCCTGCCCGCCTGGACTCGTTAACTCTCACGCGGCCACGTCAGGACCTAAACGTACGTCGTAAAAAAAGGCGGGGACAGGATTTGACAGAACAGATTGTCCGACGATGGATGGTCCGGCTTAGCGGCGGAGGAAAGAAGAATTGACACGGGGAAGAAGGCAGGTCAGTGCCGATTCGTTCTCAGTAGCGCGCGGTGAGTGCTCAGAAGAGACAGCACGAAACGGCCTCTGCCTCGCGCTGTGACTTTGAACTTTTCAAAAATCAACCGTCAAGCTCTTGAAGGCCGTCTTCTCCTCCACTGGCGTTGCTATTAATAGAGGAGCGGGACGTTATTTTAGACCAGGCACGTCATCGATCGAGCGTCACCTTTGCTCGGCAGGGCGCGGGCTCAGGGTTACTAACGAGGGACACGGGAGAGCTCATCAGCCGCCGCCCGACCGACAGGTGGTTTGGAGCGCGGCGGGGCAAAACAACGGAGCCGCTCATGGATAAAAGGAGCACAGGTGGACAGGACTGTCTCTGAAAGCTCTTTAACGCTCACAGAGACAAGCTTTTAAAAGCTCTGTGCATATTCTCTGTCATATGGACACTTAGAGCATTCCGCGGAGGGAGCACATATCGAGTTTTGATTGTTAAAATTCCTAAACGAACTGGTAGAAGGCAGATTAGCACAATGGACAAGGTACGCTACTGTATGGAAGCGCTGGCGGGTAGTTACTCGCCCTTTGAGCAGCGGCCCGAGGGGAGACTCATGCACAGGAAGATCGACATGTGTGCGTTTGACAGCAGCTCGGACTCGGAGGGAGGTGGGAACTCTCCCGGGCCACCCTCTCCCACCTCCCCGTCCACTCTCCACCAGCTGTACGACCGGCAGGTGTGCGCGGAGTGCGCGGCGCTGCTCCACTCCTCCAAGCCGCCCGCCTGTTGGAACATCATCCACCTGTTCTGTGCCGGCTGCCTGGAGCGGATGCCGGCGCGGGACGCCCTGCGAGCCCGGATCCGGATCGACCTGGGCCTGAAGCTGGTGTGTCCGGACTGCGGGGGGACCGAGGAGGCGCCCGGGGAGTGGGTGGACACGTACAGCGTCACCAGCCGCCTGCCCAAACTGCACGACGTTTCTCCGCCAGGACTAGGCAGAAGAAAGCGATTCTTCCGACGCCGCTGATTCAACGAAGCAACCATATGTCAAAAAGATAAGATATAACGAACGGAGGCATTTGTCACGAATGACATTATGGACTCGGCGTTTAGAAACGGTTTTCAGAACGATTATCAATGGTTTCTTCTCCCTTCCACAGGATAGGGACAGATCATTGATTAGACCAGATAGATCGGTGGGTACAAATTTCATTACCGTTTGCTGACAGTGACGGATGCCGCTAACATTGCTCTTGTATAATTTACCTTTGGTTGTGGTGGCAGAACATCCAGCAAGATCACGTTTACAGATAACAAATTGATTATGATAGATCCCTTTACATTAATCCGATCACATTTCTTTTGGATCTATTTGTTAGTTACGTCGTTACATCTTAAGCAGTGTATATTTTTCCTACCACCGATAGCTTGAATAGATGTTTTCTCTCTTTTTTACATGAAGACACTGTAGAAAAATGTAGCGTGCCAAATTGACCAAAAGGAAATAAAGATATAGAATAGATAGATACTGCAAAGGATACAAAGAAAGCAATTGGAAAACAGGGTATTATTGTGTGATAAACTTTGTCAATGTGATATAGAAATGTCTTTAAAAAGATACTGTTACTGTATGAAATCCAATACGTAAGCCTACATTAAAGCACGCGTAAAGACGTTTCAGTCGACTGAAAAACAAGACCTTTACGCCTGCTTTAAGGCGGTCTTAAATCTCGGCTGATTTCGTGTGGTGTGTCTTGTAGTTTAGAGGTGAGCACAAATTTGTATTCCTGCAGCGTTTAGTGTCTCGTGAGTGAGGTGGCCGGGAACTAATTGCTGGAATTGTCGTCCCCCAATAACGGGCGCGTGGTGTAATGAAAAAGGAGTTCTTCTATTATACTGGTGAAATAATGGGCCCTGCCACCGGTGACCTCGCGCGCCATTGTGTGACACTTCGGAAATCCGGTCAATACTCAAGATACGCTGCCAAAAAGAAAAAGAGAAAAAAAATCATACAAGGACGTATGAAAGTTTACGGTGTATCATGTGGCCGCATTCACAGCACGGAAACAGATATTTAAGTCAACTTAAGAACTACGTAAAGAGATGTGTACATGTATACAAGGCGGTAAAATTTTTAAAGCAAAATTTACGATTTCGGAAAGGCAGCAGAAAATAAAATCTGACCTTTCCGTAATCTTCACGAATTACATAAATAGCTATTGAAGAGGTTGAAATTGTTAAGATGAATTTATGATTTTTAAAGACAACTAAAAGACCAATCCGTCTGTACGTAATATTTTCAAATCACGTAAAGCGCTAGTAAAGGTGGTGAAATATAAAACATCCTTTTTCATACTGTGATTGTAAGAGAGAGAAAGTGTTATTGTAAAAGAAGATCGCAATATGTAGAGTATGTGTTCCTGTGAACGGTGAAGTTTTGTGATATCTATGTGCAACTGTGCTGCTAGAGAATGCATGCTGCAGTAGTGTATGAACAGAAATTTCTGTGCACTAAAATATTAATAATTCTGATAGGTTATGAAAAAAAGAACTGGGTATCTTTGGACATTCCTCTGTTCATAATTCATAATTAAAAATTTGTTCCTTCAATTTTTTGGTGACAATTTTATTTTGTTATCCCCTTGTTGTGTTTTAAAGGTGTCAAGGACGAACAACTGCTGTTTTGATACAGGTTTGTCTCAAAACACATAAAACAGATCATAAGTTTCTGCCCTAAATGAAATACAAAATAGATTTTTTCGAAGCACTGATGGGAATTCCTTCCTTCTTTTGAGACTGCTCTTTTCATCTGAGACGTCTTGAAAAATCTCCTTCGCACCTGTGTTGAACCTGCTCTGTCTTGACGTATCGTCTGTCCCGCTTAAAGGAACAAGAGAAACCACGACTTAACTGAGACAAATCACAACTGGTAATAACAAAAGGCGGTGAACCATTCATCCTAACGGTGCAAAGGATAACTTAATACACCTTTGTTATGTCTTATTCATATATGATAAATGTGGAATTACCGCAAGGTGCTGTTCATTTTAGGTCTTTGGGGAAGCATAGAGACGTTTTGTATGTACGAGTATCTGTTTGCAAAGGATATGTTTATTTAAAAAGCACGTTCTTTGTGCTTTTAAGTATCGTTACAAGAAACTACGCTTTCCTGTGGTCGATGTGTATATCTGTAGATAGAAAATATTGAACCAGAGTCGCTACTGTACTGTGTCTGTGCATAGGTTATGTGAGTCAATATCGTTACATGTGATATGGTGTGAGTATACGTGCCAAACAAGTATGTAACCAAGTATCTCTATATTTGTATTGTAGCTAATTAAATATGCCTTCTACGAAGGGGAAAATATGTATGTATTGTTTGCTCGTTTTAGGCTACTCTATTGGTAAAGGAGAATAATGCTTAAGGCAATTATGCTTGCGCGAAAGCATTTTTCACCCCCATTAAGACCCCCAACCATGTTAAGTACAGCATACTGTACCAAAAAGCTCGTAATAGCCTTAAATTGCACTACACTTGTCCTGGGTACTAATTTGCTGGCGTAATATAAAGGACTCAACAAGGAGTACGCAGGGCTATGTTCTCACGTGATGTGCGTGTTTACGAGAGTTAACGAGACATCCGGGAACTCTTGTTTCTCTGCAACTGGATCAGTGGAACCTGGCTCTTCGGAAAGTCATATAGTTCTAAATATCCCCCTTGCCACTTTTATATATACATATACACAGTCCAATCCTCGACTTGCTATGAGTAAGGATGATAAAAACGTAAAACCTCTGATCAAACGATCAAAATGAGTGTACAACTAGTAGCACGCGGGATTGTAAAGGTGGCGGATAGCTCCCAAGCCTCTCGTATCTTCCCACGTGCCCCGTCCTAAACGAGGCTTGTCCGTAATAAGCTCGGCCCTTGACTGGGAGCGATCACGACAGGGTGCAATCTTCTCACTTTAGTCACTTCTATTTGGGAAAGCAATTTGATACATGCGCGCTTAGGCGTAAATTGCCTTTTTCATTTCCACCCAATAGGGTTGGTATTGAGTGCAACGTCCCGGAGAGAAAAGTATCGGGCATATTGAGTGGTATTGTCGGTATGTTATCACTCCCAAATCGATATGTGTGTTACTGGAAGGTACAACAAAGGACCCAACTCAATGATACACTGTCGAATAGATCATAAGCAAAAACAAAACAAGCAAAGAAACAAAAACGAGTCTAGTACATGACACTTAAAATTCAAAATAATGCATTTCTGATAAAAGTTTAGCTTGATTTGAATTGGTGGTATATAGAAATAGATTAAACACTTAAAATCAAGATCTTAATTTGCCCCTCTGTTTGTCCCATGTCCCAACTTTGATTGCATGGTGGTTGGGAGGTGATTTCTTATTGACAGTGACGGTTTATTGGCAGGTAGCCCTGAATGTTTCCTAGCACACGCCAGCTGAGAGAAGAGGATTTACTTTAGTAATGTAATACTCGCATAAATTACATCATAGAAGTGCATCCACAGTATCAACACATTCAATATTTACTAAATTTGTGAACTTGAAGGTCAGCACAAAAACCTAAAATTCTTGCCGGAGGTATGGAATCTCCAACTTCTAGTTGCAGAACTGTGGGAACACGACCGTGAGAGGACTAGACTGAGCCTTGGTGCAAAAGTAGTTGCCTATGATTGACAGTACGATCAAAGGTATGCGTGATCACACACCTTACAGGGTTGGTAATAACGTCGAAGCACAAATTGCTACCCCAACCCGTAAAATTTACCACTGTGGCAGCGTCTGCGTGGAGTAGAATACTTAACCGTGCCAAAAATTATTGTTCTACACAAATTGGATAGACGTCAACGTGACAAAAACATCGTTCCTGTTTGTTAATTTTCTTATCAGATATAAGAGCATAAGTCATACGTTCTTCCCCTGCCGTTTTCTTTTGATAACTACTAGCCCCGCCCACCTCCGGTAAAACACAATAATAATGCAAACATTTCACAGACATGCAGCCGCTCTCTCATTGGTCTAAACGCTAATTGGTAAGCTATCATTGGTTGAGCTGCTAATTGTGATAGACATTCAGGATCAGTCTATTGCATTCCCACTTAAAAACTCTCTCTATGTGAACAACTGCTATTAGGTGCATGGATGGTGCAAAACCCATTGGAGTAATAGGAATTTTGTCTGCAAAAAAGACATGAAAGCGCTATTGACGAAATCGGGTGCCTGCATTATTTGAAGCAAATGAAGAAAATGGCTTCATTGTCAGAAATGATAGTTTACGCCATGTTGAAGCTAGGGGATATTGTCTATGTTGTATGGAGCCTTACAAAATTGCACAAAAAGTCTTTTAGTGGCTGCTTATGAATTGGTCACGGCACGCGACTTTTGTATACTTTATAAGGCTCTAATGTGTGATATAGTGAATGTATTTTCTATTCAAGCTGTACATTATTATCAACTAAATGTGAGTTCTTCAAAAAGCAGATATTTTTTCTTGGCTTTCTATCTTTCTGTTGCACAACTAAAGCATTTACGATTACGGTTCAAGATACAATTGTGATGAATTCTTTTAAGCTGCTAATAGTAGAATCGCCTGGAAAATGAAAGAAAACTAAATTAAAGCTAATAATGACAAATACAAGTTCGATAACGAATAACAGTACACCTCATTTTGTATTTCATATTAAAAAAAAGAGTCGACCAGTGTTCATAGGCCACTTGAAAGCATCCAACCCAGAAAATAGATTTGCCACGTTCTAAAATATCTGATCCAATCATCTTATTTATGTCATACACTTTTCTTACGAAAGGACATTAACGATATTAGTATCGGTATAACTGTCTACAATTCTGGATTAAAAAAGGACATTACAGAAGAGAAATCGCAGAAAAACCAAAGCAATCTTAATAAGATCTTGTCTGTATGAAAGAACACCACTGGTGCATGGCGCCCAAGGCTACAGCTACAACCGTATATCGTTACACAGATTAAAGTCAGTCTATTTACCACTCCGAAAGCAAACGTGTTCCGCTAATAACATAACTTATATACAGTTATGGTTGACGTACGTTGACGTGAATGACGAAAGGGCGCTAAGGCAACAGCGAAGTGTTTACGGTTGTTTCTTGATTGGGTTTTAACAGAAGGCAGTTAATATCATCAACTTGCAAGCCGCTATTGATGAATCATTTGTTGTGTGATATTTGTAGAAATCCAAAGGCAAAGATAGCATAAATCTTGCTTTTGCTCTGTCGATTTTATTTTTTTTGCATGAGGAGACGACCTGTAACTGGATAAGTTATCACATTGTTTCTTTTGCCCAATCGTCAGAAATAAATGTGAATAAAATAAATAGATCAGAATGCAGTAAATAACAGATTTTTGAAAGTTAAATCTCAACCAA